AGACCCAGACCCTGGGAACTCCCCCAGCTCTCAGGGGGGCCTCCCTCACTCTGGCTGAGTGTCCCCTTGGATGGCCTGCCAGCCAGCGGGTTCTTCAGGGAGCTCATTAAGGGTTCTTTTGCCACCTTAGCTTGGAAAATGAAAATGAAAACCCACTGAGAGGGGAGGGAGAGAGAAAGGCCAGCCAAGGAACACCAGTTGCAGGCGATGTAAGAACAAGCCCAACGAGGGTGGAGGGGCTCACGGAGACAGAGGAGGCTCCCTCACCAAGAGCAGAAGGCACAAGCCCTGGCCGGTTTGGCTCAGTGGTAGAGTGTTGGCCCACAGATCGGAGGTTCACTGGTTCGATTCCCGGTCAAGAGCATGTACCTGGGTTGCAGGTTTTTTCCCCAGCTCACAATCCCCAGTAGGGATGCGTGCAAGAGATAACCAATTGTTTGGTGTCTCTCTCTCTCTCTCTCTCTCTCTCTCTCTCTCTCTCTCTCTCTCTCCCCTCCCTTCTATTCCCTCTTTTAGCAATGGAAAAAGATATCCTCAGGTGAGGATTAACAACAATAACAAAAAAGAGCAGGAGGCAGGAGCTGATAGAGCCCAGCCCACCAGTGCCCTGGGCGGGGGAGTGGGGCATGGGGTGTGTGTCCCAGAGACGGGTTCAGGGCAGCTGAAGGGGCTCCTGTGCCTCCTGGGAGAAGGAAGCCTGCTAAGGAAACCCTCAAACTACCCTGGGTCCCAGTACAGAGGCTGGGCTGGGTGGGCCTGGGGCACAGGTGAGCAGGTGACATCCATGCTCTTGGACAAGGAGGTGCCTCCTCCCAGTGCCCATCAGTTAGTGCCAGGGAGGAGCATCTTGGGTGCTGTGGCCAAAGGAAAGCACATTTGGTCGGTCTGAGTCCTGAACGGATGTCTGGCCGCCTGAGCGTGGCCTGTGGTCCCTGCAGGAACAGTCCACCTGCCTGTTTGAAAGTTCCGGCTGATGGAGGGGTTCCTGTGGTCGCCTGCACTCAGGGATAGGGTTGCTCTCCCCTCCCCCAGCCACTGCGTGTCTACTGGGGGGTCCAGCCTTCTTGCCTTACACTATGGTGGGACCCTGGAGGCACCTTCCCTGGGACACCCCAGGCCAAGGGCCACAGGCTGAGGGGTGCTCCTCCTGTGCCCCACAAACCCAAGAGGGCAGAGGCTCAGCTCCTGGTGCAAATGCCAGCCCCTACCCGGCTGCAGGAGCCCAAGTCCAGTGTCACCTGAGGGCAGGGTCTTTTTTCGTTTGCCAAGTGGCCATTCCTGGCTACTCACTGTTCAGCAAAGTGGGCCTAATAGCAATGATTTAGGCAGGAAAGAGGTCGGCGCAGGAGAACCCTGCCCTGGCAGCCTGGGGATCCCAGAGGAAAGGCCCAGGGGACGAGGAATAGGGTCAGCCCCTTCCCTTAGGGACGCCCCTTGGGGCCTCTGCCCCCACCCTTCACCACTGTGTCCACTCTGGACCTGGCATTGGTGGCACTGGCTGTAGCCAGGACAAGAACCGTCCCGTGGAACCCCAGTCCCTGCTCTGGTCCCCACCTGCCTTGTGCTGCCCGAGCGAGCCGCCCATCTGGTCCCAGGACTTTGTGTAGCTGCCCGTGTGGCCCCCACCCGCCATGGGCAGCCCCTTGATGCCTCAATGGCTTACTGCTCCCCCCAGGCCACAGTCAGAGCCACGGCGGCGGAGCTGAAGGCCCTGCAGGCCCAGTTTGAGGAGGCCATCTCGGCCCATCAGAGAGAGACCTCGGCTTTGAACCACAGTCTCCGGAAGATGGCGGCAGAGCGGAGCAACGCGGGCAGAGAGGTGAGGGGGTGCCTGGAGGGGAGAGAGGGAGGTGCCAGGAGGGGTGAGAGAGGGGAGTACAAGGAGAGGGAAGAGAAGGCAGGTGTGACCTGTGGGGTGGGGAGAGGGAATTGGGCCATTAGCCTAGAGGCCCATCCATCCAACACGCTGTGGGAAAATCCCTGGTGAGCAGCGTGAGGCATGGACCCCACGGAGCTGAGCCTGGGTGGGGTGAGGCCACCCTGGGGTCTCCTGGAGCAGAGAGGTGCAGGGTGGCCCTGCCTGGGCCTGACATGGCCCCAGGAGCCCTGTGATGGTGTCCTGGGTGGGGACAGCCTTGGGCAGGGTGAGCAGGAAAGGCCCCAGCGAGGCCGGTGGAGCTCGGCAGGCAGGCGATTGGGGAGGTGTCCCTGAGGCAGGTTTGACAGCACTCGGGCGCCTGGGAGAGGGGAGGGCAGGAGGACACGGGATTGGGCTGGGGGAGGGTAAGCTGGCGCCCAGGTAGGGCCGGCAGGCAGGGACCGGCGGCTCTAGCGCGCGTGCTCCCTGGGCAGTGTGCCAAGGCTGGCAGGCGGCTGACCGAGCTCATGCACTAGCCTGGAGGCTCGGCGGGGGGAGGAGGGGCTCGCCCTCCCCCAGCACCAGGGCAGGCTGGGTGGACGGAGGAAGAGAGCGTGATTTAACATGACAGGCTGTTTACTTTGGCCCCCAAAGAGAAAGGTCTCCTTTCAACAGATTTCAAAGTCAGGCCGGTCAGCGACCACACGGGGAAACAAAATGAGGTTTTAAAACTGGGGGCAGCAGTGGGAGGAGCTGGGAGATGTACAAGTTCAGGTTCTTGGAGAGGGGCCTCCAGAAAGGGAGTGGGGGGACGGACAGGGAGCCTGGGGGGTGAAGGGGAAAGAGGAGCATGGAAGCGCCCTCACAGGCGCCAGGCTGGCCAGGGTCGCCATGGAAACCATAACATTTTCACAGTCCTTAAACCAAAGGCACATCCAGGCCTCCGGCAGCCCTGACTGAGTCCACACATGTGTGTGTACATGCACACACATGAACCCACTGCATGGCTCACACGCATGCACACCCCATACCTGTATGCACACACGCGTACACAAAAAGTGACAGTGCATACATGCATGTACACACGTGCACTCATGTGTGGGCACAATGCACATGTAAACACATGTGAACACCATGAAGTACACACATACTAGTATATCCAACAGGAGCACATGCACTTCCATACATACTTGCATGCTCATACATAATGCCATGTGTGCTCACACATACATGTATGCAGTTGCACAACCACACGGTCACCATGCTGCATGCACACACGCATGCACACCAATCACACATGTGTGTTGCCATGTGTGCACAAATGAACATGCCACACGCAGGCCAGGGCCCTCAACTCCCCTCCCTCCTCTTTGCAGAGCTCTCGACCACCTCCCTGCAGGAGATTTCAAAAGAGGCTGTTTATACAATTTTTAGTAAAGAAATAATTATTATAATCACATTAAGCGATTTGGCTGTAAAATTCCTGTAAAAGGGATGGTTGTTCTCGGGAGACAGAGGGAGGTGGGTGGAGGTGCGGGGGAGGGGCCCCGCATTTGTTTTGCTTGTTTTCATCTCCTTGTCCTGGGAAATGAAAACAGCTTCTTTTGTGATGGATAGGCCCTTTTGCTGGTCCTTGACCTTCTGGGTGGATTTCTGCTGAGCTCAGCGGAAAATGCTCTACACAACTTGTGGCTCCCACATGTGGGGGGTGGGAGGGGAGCGAAGGGGGGGCTCAGGCCCTTCCCAAAAACAGAACAACAATAACAGCAGGCGGGTGCAGGAGCCAGGCCGGCCGGGGCCTGGACAGTGTCCCACAGAAGCAGCCAGCAAAGTGGAGTTTGCTCTTGGCAAACGGGCGTCTTGACATGGCCCAGAGTTCCTGCGGCTTCCCCTCCCTGGCATGTCCCCGCTAGCTTCCTCTGTCTCCTCCTGGGGGACATGCGAATTGGAACAGAGCTTTCTGCAGAGTGTCCTGGTTAGGGCCACAGCCAGCTCAGGAGGCAAAAGACCAGGCGCCCTGGCAGAACCCCCACCCCACAGCCTGGGCATTGAAGGCTGGGCTGCCCCTTCCCCAGCCTACACTCTCCCCCAGACCCTCCTAGCAGGGCTGAGCCCAGGGCCTTTGTGCCCCAAGGTGAGTAGGGCCCCTGACTCCCAACCACACTTTGGTGTCAGCAGGCTCTGCCTAGAAGCCCCCGGTGTAGGGCCTGGTGCAGGAGAGAACACAGGTCCTGGTTCCAGGTGGTGGGTGTCCCACCTGCAGCCTCTGCCCCTCCCTGGGTCAGCTCCCTGAGGTGCGGACTGGACGTGGGAGCCTCCTGCCATGGGCCTCCACTGCCCACCTCGAGTTTAGGAGGCTCACACTGGGGCACTCCATGCAGAGCACAGCGAGAACTCCCTGCCCGAGCAGCTGGACGCCTGGCCCAGTGGGCCCTGGTGCCAACAGAGGATTCCAAGGACACCAGAGACCCGCCCTCCCACTGCCTCCGGTTCCGATAGGGGACCTGTGCCGCAGGGGTCAGGAGCCTCGGCATTGACACTGCTGCCCATGCCGGGGCAGACAGTGACCCTGGGTGCCACGCCATTACTGAAGGAGAGGAGTGGACACCAGAGCCCGACAGATGGCAAGGGCCATCAGGCAGTGGGTACTGGATCTGGTGGGGACAGTGCTGATGGGTGGGCAGAGCCGTGTCCCATGCACGGAGTATCCATCAACCCTGGGGTCCAGGGAGGGAGCACAGGACAGGACCAGAACTAGGAGAAGTCAGGGTGTCATCTGCCTGGGCTCTGGGACTGGCCCTGGGGAGTCACCCTGCAGCCACAAGTTGGCAGAACCAGGCTGTCTGCTTCTGCAAGCACTTGGGAGAGGAGGCCAGCAGGACACTAGCACTGCAGACCAGAGCCCGAGGCTGTGTGCTGCCTGTGGCTGTCCCTAGAGCAGCAGCTCTGCCTGGTGGACCCATAGCTCCTGACCCCCCACCCGGGCTGGCCCACGGCCCCTAGAACTGCACCCTCCTCCTCCAGGCCGAGCAGCTGTGGGCACAGCTGGGGGAGGCCCAGGAGGGGCTGGCTGTGCTTCGCAGGGAGCTGCAGGGCAGTGAGGACAGTCTCGAGGGGCTGCGCAGGGAGGTCGTGGATGCCCACCGTGCACTGGGGGACGAGGCCCTCGAGAAGGACATGCTGCAGCGTTCCAACGCCGAGCTGCGGGCCGCAGTGCGCAAGGCAGAGCAGGAGAAGGCCAGGTATGGCTCCACCATGGACTGGCTGTGGGGAGTCCCCCTCGCCCCAAAGCTCCCTGCCCCCCCCAACCCCGGCTGTGGTAGGAAAGGGGTTTCCTACTAAGCTGGGCCAAATGATGGTGGGGGATATACCAGGCAGATCCAGGGTGCCGACTGCCCATCCAGAATGATGACTGTTGGCCATGAGGGGGAGACCTGGACACACAGACCCGTCCCTGCCCTCAGGGAGTTCCCCTCCGGCAGGAAAGACGGGCCGGTGGCCAGTGGGAAATGGCCGGGGCTGGAGGGAGAGGAGTAGTGGTGAGAGGAGCTGGAGACATAGAGAGGGGCCAGGACAGCTGGGCACTCAAACCCACTGCCCAAAGGTGACAGGCAGCCCCAAGGAGGCTGGGCTTTGGGACGCCTTAGGCATGTCTCAATAGAGTGAGGTGAACAGCCTGCAGGGTAGCCTGAACGGTAACCATGGGAGACGCCAGAGCCCCCAGGTGGCTCCCCCAGCCCCAGCCAATGACGCTCTGCTCAGTTTTCAGCGGGCCAAGGAAGAAAAGGAGCAAAAGGTGCTGGTCCTGGACGAGGCCCGAGCCGCAGCCCAGAAGGAGGCTGGCAAGCTGAGGGCCAGCCTGCAGGAGGCAGAGCAGGCCCAGTTAGACACCTGCCGGGAGCTCCGGGAGCTCCGCAGTCAGGTGACCAAGCTCTCTGGAGCCTCACACACGCCGCCCTCCCTCTTCCCCCACCCTGGGCCCCCACCACCACCAGGGCACCCAGGTGCCTTGTGCCTTTGGAGCCGCCAGCAGAAGGGCCCTGCTCAGACTCACAGGGTTCCTGGGTGGGTCTGCCCTATGGGGCACAGATGACAAACCTCAAACCTAATGGCCTAAAACAACCTTCTGAGGCTCATGAACCCTGAGGGTCAGAAATCCAGCCTGAGGGCACAGGCAGGAGCTTGGCTCTGCCCCACAGCACAGGCACCCTTGCGGAAGCCTCCACAGCAGGGGCTTGACAGCAGGGACTGGGTCTCCTGGAGGCACCTCCTCTCACATGTCCAGTGGCTGATGCTGGTGGTAAGCTGGGCCACCAGGGCTGACGTTGAGCTCTGAGCTCTGCGCTCCACAGGGTCCTGGCCCCAGGGTGGAGGTGCCAGGTGTCTGTGGAGTGGCTGAGGGTGAAGGTCTGAGGGTACTGCACAGACCCCTGTCCAGAGCTGGACTTGGCCTGAGCGTCCTGGAGTGTGGGGAGATGCCCGGGAGGGAGGCTTTTTCCCAGGACACGTGAGCAGAGGCAGGGGTGCAGGAGGCTGCCTGAGCTCCTATGAGGGGACGTGGGCCCCCATCGGTTCCGTACCCACCCCCCAGGTGAAGATGCTGGAGACCGAGAACCAGAGGAAAAGCCAAGAGGTGCGCCAGCTGCAGGCCCAGTGTGCACAGGACTCGCAGCGGCAGCAGCAGAGCTGGCAAGAGGCCCTGGAGCTGCAGAGGCAGGCGGCTGAGGTGGACGCTGCCCGGGAAGACGCCCAGAAGGAGGTAGAGGGCTGAGGGGCCCAGAAGGGGAGGCAGAGGTCCAGGGTCGCCCAGGCCTTGCTCTCACCCTCGTTTCATCACATTTTAGTCAAGGACAGAGTCTCACCCTGGCAAAGAGAGTTCTGAGCCTGGGGACAGGCAGGGGGACCCTGAAAAGACCAATTCTCAAGAGCTTCAGGTCTCTGAGCTCACACCTCCACCCAGGCCTGCACACGTGTCCCACGCCCCAACACCTGCACACACAGGCACACACTCTCCCATGAGCTCTCCCCAGACGCCTGCACACATGTCCCCACACCCTCCCACATGCACTCTGCGTGAGCTCCCCCCACCAGCTCACACAGCCCCACACCAGCTTGAAAGACCCTCTGTTCAGTCCCAGGCACCGCCCCTCGGGTTCTGTTTGCTGCCGGGCTGTGCTGCCACGGCCAGGTGGCCTTGGACCCCCCACACACAGCCTGAGAAGGTCTCCCTGGGCCTCGGCCTGTGTGGGGCTCCCGGGTTCAGACCCAAAGTCATGTGCAGAGTGGCTATTATCAAGTACCCACCATGCCCAGAAACATGGTTTACTTCCCATGGCCCATGTGACCCCTGTGTCACCTCACAGCCCCTCACCTCCATCTGTGAATGGGGTCGTTATACTGCGGCCACCCAGGGAGGGAGATGAGATGAGGCCCACCTGCACTGGCGCCAGGCCTCCTACCCCGGGGGTTACAGTCTGGCAGGGGCTACATAGCCTGGAGCTGGGGCCTGGCTGCTTCCCCAAAACCTGTGCACATTCCGGGGTGGGGGGGGGGTGGTCCCTGTTTATTGCCCTATTCACTCACCTTGTGAGAATGGAGGACTGGGGACACAGGCCATGACCAGGATCTGCAGCAGCAAACAAGTGGCCTAATTGGGAGTGGGGCGATGGATAGCAGCAGAAAGACAGCAGGGTCAGGGAGGGCCCCTCTCCCCGGGGCTGGGCTGCCCAAAGAAGAAAGGGGAAGGTGGCCCAGCAAGGACAGTGCGGAGAGGGGGCTGCCAGTGGCTGAAGTGAAGAGAGAGGGAACAAGGGAGGCCCAGCCAGGGGCGTCCGGGGAAGCCACCCAGCGCCTCCCTGCCCCCTCAGCCTCCGTGCACTGTGTGTGGGGGGTGGGCGACATTCTATTTTTCCGTGGTGTTATCCGTTTTGGAAGTCTGTGGTGGCACCCTGAGGTTCCCCAGCCCTGGTCTCAGGTGATGCTGACACAGCCTTTGCTACCACAGGCCCTAAGCAGGCAGACAAGCAAGGGGCTGGCCACAGGAGGTGCAGCCCAGGCCACGGCCCTGTCTGGCCCAGGTTTTCACGAGGCTGCTGGGGGCTCTCTGCTGCCGGCCCGAATCTACTCCATGGTCCTGGGGTGCCCTTCCCGACCTGGGCTCAGGTGTCTCCCCTGCCAAACATGGGCTGTGAGGCAGGTCCTTGGTCCCTCCAGCTGTGATATGCCAAAGAGTGGCTGGGGCGAAAGGCCCAGGGCCAGTCTTCAGAGGTCCCTTAGTATCCAACCTCCATCTGAGCCCCCACGGCCCTGCCACAGGTCCTGAGGCTGCAGCAGAAGCTGGCGGAAGTGAAGGAGCGCCTCTGTGAGAGCCACAGGGCTGAACAGAGCCTCCGGGCCGAGCTGCACAGGGCCACCATGAAGCTGCAGCAGGCCAGCAGTGTGACTGACAGCCTCCAGGCGCGCCTGGACAGGGCCTGCCACCGCATCCATAGCCTGGAGCAGGAGCTGGCCCGGGCAGAGGGTGCCAGGCGGGATGCACAGGGCCAGCTGAGCCGGCTCTGGTCCACACTCTGCTGCGAGCTGGGGCTCCGAGCACAGGGCCCCTCTGCCTCCCCTAAACGGCCCGGCTCCCCCACCAAAGGTCAGTGTCTTTGGTGGCTTCAGGGGGCTCCTCTCCCAGCTCCACCACCTACCTGGGCCACCCCCACTCCTCCCTGGGCCTCACACTCTGCACCATAAGGGCCTGGACCCTGTGCCCCATCCCCGGCTCCCTGTGGGTGGGGACAACAGAGAGAAAGGGAGACAGGACATCCATGTGCCACTGAGTCCGTCCCCTCGGACCTCACTGTCCTACAGGTTTGGACGGTTCTCAGGGTCACTCTGGGCGGCATAGTGCCAGCCCCCCTGCCAGGTCCCGCTCACCACTTCGATGGCCTTCACCCGCACCAGGACAGCAGGGCCCAGACATGGACGTGGCCTCTGTGCAGGACGCCCTGAGGGACTTCATGCAGAAGCTGCGGGATGCCCAGCAGGAGCGGGTAAAAGGGGCAGAGAGGACCTGCCCTGAAGGCTCCGAGAGACAGGAGGGGCCACTCTCTGTGTGCTGTCCACCTGGGTCCAGGGCAGGGGCGTCACCATCCCCATGCCTGTCTCCTGAAGAACCATCCCAGGGGCTGGCCACATCACCTGCAGAGTGTCCCCCGTGACCTCTCACAGGGGACCAAGCTCCCAGCAGCTACTCACATGGGTTCCCCATCTTGCCACCCCAGGGATGCCCCTCCAAACCTGCCAGGTGGGAGGAGCTATGGGAAAGACTGATAGTCATGGCATGACCTATTCCCCGACTCTACGTGCATACCCCAAACCTAGACATGCGGGCACAGCGCCTCCAAGCCCTCCCCAGGGCCTGTCCTGAGTGCCTCTAATGCCCACCAGACCCCCAAAACCTCTAGCTTTCCACTCCCCGCAGCCCTGCCTGCTGACCTTTGACCTTCTCCCAGGACAACTGGCGCGCCCAGGTTCGCCACCTGAGCAGCTGGCTGAGAGAGGTGGAGAGGGAGCGTGCCCGAGCCCAGAGCCACGTGGGGCAGCTGAAGACAGCGCTGGCCCAGGCGGAGGAAGGTGACCTCCCTTCCCCACCTGCTCCTGGGGGTCCCCCAGAACACCCACTCCTGGCCTCCAGAGTGCAGTCCTGGGAACAGCTCAGGCTGGGGCCATGGGGTAACACCAAACCAGCACCCCCCTGCACTGGGGGACAGCACTTCCTGAGACTGTGAGAGGCCTCGTCCCTCCATGGCATTCTCTTCCTACCTGGGCTTCTGCACTGGCTGTGCCCAAAGTTGGAGCCTTCCTCCCAGTCACAAGGCCCATCCCCCCATTGGGTCTCTGCCTCAGAGAGGCCCCTGCCCTGCTGGTCACCCCACTGCATTTCTGTCCCTCACCCCATTAGTGGGTCACCCAGGGAGCCAGGCCCAGGGCCTGAATGTCTGGAAGGGAAGGCCTGAGAGAAGGGTGGGCTGGGGAGGGGCCTGGGGTCCAGGCCTTGAGCTTTGAGGGAGGAGCAAGGTTGTCAGAGGGGAGCCTCTCAGCCCCCACCATCTAGATGCCAGTCACTAAAACTCCCCGGGCCTCAGTTTCCCAGCCTCTGAGATGGGAGGGGCGATCCCCCATATGGGAGTCCCTAGACCTTGGGAACCAGGCAAGCCACCCTGCTTGCCCCACAGGCTGGCGCCAGGCAGAGAGGGAGGCGGGCAGTGCCCAGGCCACCAGGGTCCTGCAGAAGGAGGTGCTTCAGAGGCTGGAGAGGGAGCATCTGGCGAGTGTGCGGACAGCAGGCCAGGAGAAGAGGCGGCTCCAGGTGGGGACCCCACACCCCGGGGCCGGGAGGGGAAGGGGGAGGCTGAAAGGGCTGCTGGGAGGGGAGGTTTCAGGTCCCTGTGGGCAGGTGGCCTCAGGGGCACTGGGTTCCCACAGAGCTTATCAGGGCTGTCCCTGCAGAGCTGTATTTGAGGTGGTCCTGACCCTTATTTTACAGATTGGGGAAACTGAGTCCTGGGCAGAGAGTGAGTTGGCCTAGGTGGCAGAGCCAGCCGGAGGCAGACCAGGGCCAGACCCGCCTCTTTCTGTGACCACACCAGCAGGCATAGGGTGGCCCAGCCTCGGTGCTCTCTCTCTATGGGGTCAGGTCTATGCTGTTACGGGACTTTTCTTTTTTTTATCTTCATCCAAGGATGTTTTATTGATTTTGAGAGAGAGAGAGAGAGATGGATGTGAGAGAGAAACATCAATCTGTTGCCTCCTGTGCGCACCCCGACCATGGATTGAACCCCCAGCCTAGGTATGTGCCCTGACCCAGAATCAAACCCAAAACCTTTTGGTATATGGGTTGACCCTCCAACCAACCAAACAGCTCATCTAGGGCCTGTGGGGCGGTTTTTACCCCACGTCACTCACACACGAAGCAGGCTGCACAGGATGGACTCAGTAAATGACCCCATGTGGGCTCTGTGCTGTGAAGATGGCTGGTGGTCTGCAGTTTCCAGGTGAGGAATCTGGGCCCAGAGAGGGGCCGGCCTGGGTGATGGGGGCCGGCTTCCCCCTCACTACCGGGCCCCGGAAAGCTGAGGCTCCTTGAGGACTTTGGGGGGCGTGGGGAACAGTGTGCTTGGAGCGGAGCACTGGCCCTTGGGAGGCCCTGGGGGACCAGGGTCTCGGGCCTCACCCTGGGAAGTTGAGGTGGCTGCGGGCAGCAGAGCAGAAGGGACTCATGGGGCAGGACACAGGCTCTCAGCCCCACGAGTGCCACTAGCTGCACGTCACCCCTCTCCAAGTGCCCTGGATGGATGGGTGAGGGAGGACAGGGACGGTCCTGCAGGGGAGGGGCCAGAGAAAGCACGGAGGAGCTCAGCCCAGAAAAGATTTGTAAGACAAAACGTAATTTCTGTTTCAAGACCACTCCAGCCGAAGCTGCTGTGGTGATGGGGGTGGGTCATCCCAGGGCCCAGGTGCCTGGCTGAGTGGTGGCAGGACTTGTGAGGTGTGAGGGTCTGAGAAACCAGGAGAGATAGGGTGGGTCTGTGTTCCATTTTACACATATGTTCACATGTATGTGTCCCATGCACATCTATAATAATAAAAGTGTAATATGCTAATTGTCCTTCTGGACGATCTTCTGGAGGAAGCCCGGGCTTCGAGGGAAGCCCGGGTCCCGGGTGCCTGCTGGCAGCCAGAGGGAAGCCCGGGTTCCGGGTGCCAGAGGGAAGCTGGTGTCGGCAGCCTGGGGAAGGAAGGCCTACTCTTGCACGAATTTCGTGCATCGGGCCTCTAGTTTGAAAATAAGTTGAACTTTACCTATTAAATCAACCGTTACAAATACAACACTCCTCCCTGGGTCTGTCTCCCGAATTTATCCAGGCTGAGAGTGATGCGGTAAATTTTCCCACTGTGATTTTTTTTCTTTTGGCAACGTCTCCTTTATTCCAAGAGTCTTTGATTTGTGGATTTTTATGGCATGCTCTTCAGAATTCCACGTTTTCCGCTGCTCCAGCTTTTCCAGATCTGGAGGCCTCTGCCCGTAACCGTTCTGTCCTGAATTCCACTCCGCCTGATGCGGCACAGCCCACCCATCTCAGAGGCACTCCTGCCCTTCCCGCCCCACCGTCCCTCAGCCAGGCTTCTGTTTCAACTCCACCTCTGAGTCTCTGCCCTGTTGCCGTTTCAGGAGACTTTGTCCCACTTACAGGCCTCACAGTGGTGTGTTCACTCTGCTTTTCTCTGCCCTTGACTGTAGGTTGTTTGCTCTCCCCTTCCCTCCAGCGCCCACATCCTGGCCTTGTCCCTTTCCCTGGTCTTGGGGGCACAGGAGTGTTACGCAGATGAGCGTGGTAGCGATGTCGCACTGTGCTCAGGGAATGCTGGTGGCAGCTGGGACCCCTCCTGTGCCCGGCCTCCCCCAGGAGTTCTGTCCCGGGACCTGCCCTTATCTTTCTGCTAAGTGCCGGCTGGTTTGTGCAGAGCCTGCCCCTGAGTTCGAAGCCCCCAGTGTCTGCAGACCCAGAGGATTATCCAACAGCAGCCACACCTGGTGCCTTCCTTCTCAATCACAAAGGCCGATGGAACCCCATTTGTGGGCTCCCAGTCCTGCAGGCCAAAAATCCCTCGTGGGTGACTTGTTCTCTCCCAGGTCTCAGCCTCTGGGGTGGGCTGGTCCCGAAGCTGGAAGAATCCCCTGGCAGCTCATTCAGGGTGTGGCAGGGTCCAGTTCCCTGTGGCTCTGGGACCAAGTCCCGTATCCCAGCCCTCGGCTGAGGATGGAGCAACTTCTAGAGGCGTCTCCCAGTCCCTGGCATGGGCCTTCTCATGGGCCCTCATCGGATCCCCGAAGATCAGACCTCCTGTGATACTAGACCCACCTGGGTGGTCTCCCATTGGTTAATTACTAGCCCTCATTATCTCTGCAAATCCTTTTGCGACATAATCATTACAGGATGACATCAGGGCCAACGGTCACAGGCCATCTGTAACTGCCGGCCCGGGTTTCAGTAATTTGTTGAACGTGTCGGCTGAACTCTTGTGCACACAGCTGTCTCAGGTGAGCCAGCCCTCTTCCCATCTCTCCGAGAGAGGCCTTTTCCCCTTCGATCTCAGGCTGGTTGCTTGCCCTCTGACCTCCGTCTCGGTTGGATTCCAGAAATGAGAGTATGTTGTAGTTTATTTGAAGTGTTATTTCCAGAGTGGGGAGCCAGAACGCCCATTTAGCTTTGAAATTCAAAAACATTGACTCCTCCATTGTTTGTGCCTGTGCTTGGTGAACCGACGAGGCAGAATCCAATCTACCTCCGTTTATACAAGTTCTTTCCACTGGAAAAGCATCTCTCCTCCCCATGCTTCCCTGTTTGTTTGTCCCAAAATTCTCAGCAGCCCAACACTCCTCTCTGGGCCTGTCTTCCTTCCTGACCTTGAACTTCACCTTTCCAGGTCCCAGCAGTTTAGGGTCTTCTGCCTGTTTAGTTGACCTGTCCTGTGTTGGCCTTTGTGTGTGTGTGTTGTTGTTGTTGTTGTTGTTTGTTGTTAATCCTCACCTGAGGATATTTTCCCACTGATTTTTAGGAAGAATGGAAGAGAGACGGAAAGACAGAGAGAAACATCGATGCGAGGGAAACACATCGATTGGTTGCCTCCTGCGTGAGCCCCTACCAGGGCAGGGCTGAGAAGGAGCCTGCAACCTAGGTACATGCCCTTGCATCAAACCCGGGACTCTTTGGGCCGCAGGCCGACCTTTATACACTGAGCCAAACCAGGTAGGGCGGCCTTTGTGTTTCTATCTCAATTGTTCACTCTCCGGCTCCCCCATGGCCTCACCTTGAGAATATCATTGAACCTTTTCTAACATGGATTCCCTTTTCTTGCAATCACTTTGTTCTCTTTAATTTGAGACCCTCAGATCTGATTCCTCAGATTGGCTTTGTCTCTTGAACCACAGTTGATTGCTACGTACGTCATCATTTTTTTCCTCTGCATGTCTTTAAAGAAGGGGGTCTGGTCTTGCTCAAAGTTGGAAGTGGAGAGGAACCTCCTGGGGACTTTGTGTGACCCTGTCCAGATACTTCAGGCCCAAAGGAAAGGCAGAGAGAAAGGTCCCAAGGGGAGCCATGGGGGCCATGGGGCATGGGGAGCCGGTGGCAAAAGCAGTCCGGAGCCCTCACTAGAGCTTTTCTGTTCCAGGAATGGGGTGGGCAAGGGCCCTGCTCTGGGGACACAGCCATAGTGACTGCAGGCCTCTTGTTCCTCACCCACCATGACCCTCATCCCCGGAGGCCTCCCCTCCATGTCAGATGCCCCTCCAGTCCTGGCTCTGAGCCGGGGTTCCCAGGAACTGGGGGGGTCTTCTGAGGTTCTTCAGATATTCTGTATCCATGTTAATTTTTCTGCTTGATCAATAATTTCCTAATTTTTTTTATTGAAGTGTGTGTCCTAAAATCTATCAGTATTATGTGAAATTTTTCTAGAATTCTGGCAATTACCATTTCTCCTATTTTCAGGCTGGTTGGTTCTGTCTATCCTCCATCTTGCAGGAGCCCTCAAAGTTCTGGTCTCCAGCTCTGAGGAAAGTTTTCCCACATTTTGTGACCTCTTGACCATTGCAGTGGGCATGGGATGGGGATTGAGACTCACCTAAATCACCGGCAGCCCCAGGCCCTTTTGACAAACAGCCAACCCAGGCAGCAGTGTTTGCCACTGAGGGTGTGAGCCAGAGCAAGGTCTGCAAGCTACACGACAACTTTCACGTTCCCGGGCTGGGTTTTTCTCCATTTCACATAAGCCAACGTGTTTGTCAAGAGAAAGCTAATTAAAAACATATTTTTCTAATTAAATGGTAGGCCATGCTGTGCAAACAGTAAGATTCTTGTTTGAGTGCAAACCCCTCCCGTTTCCAGGGCTACCCTGGGGATTCACTAGATCAGCGATGCACAGCCCGCATCACCACCCACATGACCCTGCATCAGAGCCAGGTCCCAGCCTCCCGCTCCAAGGCTCACAGTGTCCTCCTGGCACCCGGACTTGTCACGTCCGACCCCACTGGCTCTCACATGCCCCGGTGTGAGCCCTGCCGCACACCCCACCTCTCCAGAGAACGCTCCCCAGGCCCAGCCTGAGCTCAGTCCAGGTTCTAGAAGCAAAGCTGGGGAGCCCCTGGCACCCCTGGGCACACGTTTTCAGCTGGTTCCTAACTTTTGTCAAGAATGTCTGTGTTTGTGTCTCCTTAGGGTATTGTCTTTATCAGCTTTTTTTGTGTTGAGTTTGTTTTATCTTGATTTAGTGAATTGGTGAGCTTTCCATCTTTTTCTTTCACCTGGAATAATCTAAATAGCCTAAGAGGTAAGCTTTTTTAAAGGTTAGTCTGAATTTGCGTGCAAACCGCGCCCTCCTGTCATCTTAAATAGGCTTTAACTTCCTCTCCATCTCTGTCATTTTCAGTTCTCCGCCTCTACTTGTCACGTGGCAGTCGCCCACCTTATATTTTTGAGTGCACATGTATTTACCGTCGTCATAGTGACATGTGGTTATACCTGCAGTTAGATCTGTGCCTGTGCTGGGTGTCGGAGATTCTATTTATTTCCCCTCATCCAACTTGCCAACAGTTCATCTCTTTTATTGATCTTTTCAAAGAATCAACTTTTATCTCTTCTCTTATTTCTCTCCACTTTACTCATTTCGGCTTTTATCTCTGTTAACATCCTCTTTTGGTTGTCATTTTTCTGATTTCTGACATTGAATAAGTATGTGTTTATGTTTGGACTTTCTCTCTCACTAGTAAGAGAATTCAGTGTGAACCGTGTTTTCCCTAATTGAGGTTTGCTGGGTGACCCGTGGCTTTTTCATATGAATTATTTTCCTTTTTACCCATTCTCCAGGAGTTTCAGTTTTTATTCCTTCTTTAATTCAAAAGACTAATTCCATGTTTGTGCCTCCTTTTGTCGCCACATCTGGTCTCACTGGCGAGAGGGCGTGGCTTGGGCAGTGTGGGCCTTTGGTCAGCTTCTGGGGGCATCTGGGTTTATGCTCCTGGTTGTCGGCTGTTTGCTGGTTGCTCTTTGCTTTCTTGGTTTGGTTTTGTCTATTTGTTTGTGATATGTTTGGAGGAAACTGAACAAGCTGATTGCAAAGTTTACAGGGAAGAAAAGATGTTTATAACTGATTTAAGGCAGCAGGAGGGGTAGCACAGGCTGGACAAAGAGGCCAGCAGGGTGGTAGAGTCCAGAGGTGTTCAGCTGTCACTACTTGGCGCCAAGCCCCTTATATCTGAGCAATTCAGGGGCTCATTGTGTCCTGGGACTGGCCAGAGGGCGGAACCAGCCAACCAATGAATGGGTCCGTTGTGACCCAGGGGCTGGAAAGGTGTCAGGCTGAGGACCTGAACTCCAAGGCCCAGAGGACGGATTGGGGATTGGGAGTGGTGGCATGCTCTGCTCTTCACTGTGCATAAGCAGGCTGTGTAATGAGACCCCCACCCTGTATGTGCACAAGACATTTTCCACCCTTCCTTCTACAAGACCCTCATTTCACAACAGCCCTCAGAGGGTGTGGCACCCTACAGCCCGCTCCCTTCCTTCTCCTGGTCCCAACAAGAACCCAGTGAGATTGCATCACCCCATGCCACAGATGGGGAAACTGAGGCTGGGGCCTGGTCCAAGGGCACGAGAGGAGCCCCGTGTCCCTGCCCCACGCCCGGCTCTTCCCTGCCTGGCTCCCAGGTCAGAGCCACGGGCTGGGCTCCATTCGCTATTACAATGAATTTAATTCCATGGGCACTGAGTCCTTACAAGAGGAGCCCAGTGTTTCACATAAGTGGTCTGGGCCTCTTTAAATACCATGAAATATTTAAGCCGTGTTTGAAGGAAACCTCTGCTTTTCTACTGGAAAATGTGTACAAACAGAAAATTATAATTTTCAAAATTGCAAGGGAGGGTGAAACGTCACAATTTTAGGGACAAGCATTGCCCTCCTCCCTTTCCTTTTTCAAAGTACTAGTGTCAGCCCCCCAAAAAGTGTGTACAGGGTCACCCTGCCGTCTCCCGTCACTTCCCGGCTCCTCTGAGCAGCCCTCCTGTGTGAGCGGCCAGAGTCTGCTCCAGCACTTAGTGAGAATAAAGTGAAAGGATGGACCATGGCCCCTCTGACAGCCCCGGGGCCTGACTGCTGTGGTCGCTGTGGAGGATGGGTGTTTGCTGAGACCGGGACCCTGGGGCCTGCGAACTAGAGCTTGCCTGGGTCACTGAGGTCCCTGCACCTTCGGGCTCCTCTCCCTGGCTCTGTGCCCAGGCTTCCTCTTGCCCTCACACTTCACCCCCTCAGTTGGCCCTTTCTCCCTCCCCCAGCCAGGCTTCCAGAAGGCCTGCCCCTCTCCCTCCCACACCCTCAGCCTGTCACCACACACACACACACACACACACACACACACACACACACACACTAGAAAAGGTCACTAGCAACACTTGGTCCCACCCAAAGGGTCCTTTTTGGGTGTCTCCTTGACCCCTTGGGGCACCCCCATTAAGGGACTGGCCCCTCCCTCCCAATTTCTGCTGACTTTCTGGGCTTCCCTGCTCGACCATCTCTTTTTCTCTCTGTCCGGACATCTACTTGTCAGGACCCCTTCGCTCCCCTTCTCCCCTCTTACCAGGACACCCTCCCCTCCTCTGGCCTCCAGAGCCACCTGGTTCTGAAACACTGCCCCTGAGTTCAATGACTCCTGGGCACCCCTCAAGACTGAACTCTGTACCTTCACCCCCAGACATGTTCCCCGCCTGCCTTCCGTCTGGGTGAGTGGGTCCTGGACCACCCAGCAGCCCATGCCTGGGAGTCCTCATTCCCCCACACGGCCCTTCCAGGCTCAAAGTCCCATGTCATGTCCGTTTACTCCCCCACTCACATCCAAGTCACCTCCTATCCACCACAGAGTCAGAGGACCAGAGACACTGGCCACTTCTCCCACAGAACACAGGGGAAAATTCAAAAACTAGAGACTGGCCCAACCTCATGAAGCCATGCTGGTCACAAGCCAACCTCAAGTTTCCAACAATAGAGTCTGCATAGAACCCATCAGAAATCTCCAGGCCCCACTGCAGACTGGCTCAGGGCCCAGGGGCCATGTTCTCCTTGTGAGGGCTCAGAGCAGAGGGGTGAGGGGGCAAGGCTGCTGTCACAGGAGAGAGACCTGGTGTGGGTGGCGTCGGTGGGGGACTCAGTGAGGCTGGTTGGGCTGCAGGGCTGAGCAGGACTCTGGGCGGTGAGGGCAGGGCCCTGGGGCAGGGGAGCAAGTGGTAGAGGGGGTGGGCTGAGTCCAACAGGCTCCGTGACTTGGGGTGACTCTGGTCTTCATTCCAAGTCTGGAAGCAGGTGAGGGACACTGGTTGTGTCTTGAGGCCACTCTGGCCACAGCACAGAACCTGCCAGCGGAGCCTCTGCCCACACTGGGCCCACAAGGCCTCCTTTCCAGTTCCCACGGCTACATCTCAGGCGGCCCAGGTGTGCACAGTGTACTTGGCCTCCTCTCGCCTCCTCACCTCCCAGCGACCTGCAGCAGGCCTGGGCAGACACCCTGTGCCCCCCTCCCCAGGAGCAACTGGACGCACTGCACCGGGCCCTGCATGAGAGCAGGAGGCACAGCCAGAGCCTGGCCCAGAGGAGTCGGTGGCTGGAGGAGCAGGTCGCCAGCCTGGAGCACAGGTGCCAGGAGGTCGAGAGGGCACAGGGGCCCCTGCGGCAGGTGAGGCCCCCAGAAGGCAGGGCCCTGCATCCCTTCACAGAATCAGCCCCAGTGCCCGGCTGACAGAGCACACGCAGGGATTCCCTGGTCCAGGACCACCCGAGAGCCTGGTCCACGTAGCCTCTGTCTACCCAGGTACTTCAGAGGCAGCAGCTCAGGACGCAGGGATTGGGGGCACAGTGCATGAAGAGGCACATCCTGCAGGGACACAAGGCCTCCCAACACCTCAAGGGCTCCCACCTACAAGGGGAGCTCATGGTGCGGCATGCACGCCAGCCACTGGTATGGGCTCTGACAGTGGTCCCTAGGAGAGGGTCAGGGGATCCCTCACCAGGGTCCCTTGCTGGGGTCAGGTGAGGCTGGGCATGTGTCCTACTGCCCTGGGGGCCTGGCGGGTCATGGCTGAGAGTCTCTGTGAGCACCCCTGGGCCACGTCTAGGCAGAGGGTCTTGCCTGTCCCCCAGCACAGGGATCTAGAGTGGTATGCGGACACAGACAGAGGAGGGGCTCAGGAACACACAGCTGCCACCTGGGCACAGACATCCACACGCTGTCATTCTTCCCCTTGCAGCCCTGGCCCCAGGCAGGGCTCCGGGAAGGGCATTCAGCCTGGGCTCACCTATGCAAAGGGAACCAGGTGTCTGTCACTCATGGCTGTCCCAGGCTGGGCTGCTCAGAAGGGCTGGTGGAGGCTGTGTTAAGTGGCACCCCCACAGACTTTGCAAGGGCCTCCTCGGTTCCAGTGAACCCCTGGGCTTGTCACTGTGTCACCTGCTCACCAAGACCTATAAAGACTGGCTTCCTGCTGGGGCGGGCTTGTCTGGTCTGGGCAGTGTGGCCCAAGGGCAAAAGGACCAGGGGGACCACAGAGGCCAGGCTTAGCATCACTGGTGGAAGGAGCAGCAAGGAGACAGGTGCCCCGGGCTCTCAGACTCTGAAGGAGAAAGATGCCAGGGGGCATACAAACATCAGAGAGGCGAGAAAAGGAAAGGTCAGGGCCAGAGACAAGGTGAAGGCTGCCACCACCTCAGGCAGGAGGAAAAGAGTTAGTTGTGTCAGGAGCAGAGGCAGAACCAGGAACAGCCATGGTCCCCACGGGTTGGAGGGTGTATGTGACAGCTATGTGGACAATGACCACACGCCTCCTGAGGGAGCAGTGGGGCCCTGCGGGGGGGTGGCGGGGGGGCACTGCTGGGCCTGGAGCCCCAGGGAGAGTATCTGTCCCATGTCCCAGGCAGGTCCTGTTCAGCTGAGGTGGACTCAGGGACAGGAGGGTTTTCCAGAGGGGAGTGGCCAAGTCAGTGGGGGGAAGGGACCCTGGGGATAGGATTAGGGTCTGGATGGGGGCACAGAGACCAGCAGGCCAGCACAGGCACTGACAACCACTGGCCAGCTTGTCCACACCGGGCCACCTGCCCGCCCAGGAAGAAGGGTCGGCCAGCTGGGTACAGTCACCAGGATCTTGTCACTTCTCCTGAAGGGTGGGCCAGCGCTGAGCTGCTGAGCTGGGGAAGCGGGGGACTCACGGCCACTCCAGGGGCTCCTGGGGGGCTGAGCACTAGCCCAGCTATGGCACCGCCCCGTGGGGGAGGGGAGGAACAGCTAATGAGTTCCAGGAGGTCAGCTGCGAGGGGCCGCAAACCCATAAACCCTTTATTGGTGTCTCAGGAGGGGAAGCCCGGCCGTGGCCGTTTGTTTATTTTGGACCTCATGTTTCTCTGTTTCACATGCACTGCCAGGACTGTCACTGGGATTTTAAAGAAACAGGACTTCCTTTTCAGTGGAGGGGCTGTTTTTCTCAGTCCTGAAGAAGAAGGAATCCTTGCTTTTGAACACTGACCCCATAGTCTCACCCTGAGGCTGCTCCTCTGTAGCAGGCCCCTGAGAGCCCAGACCCTGAAGGGAGGACCAACTGGGGCTGCAGCAGGACTGGGCACAGTGGGCAGTGGACAGGCCTGGTTTGGAGAGAGGGCCTGGGCTCTGATGCTGCCCAGCTGCTGCTAGGACTGCAAGGCCAGAGACCATCCCCAGCAGCACCCAAGAGGCACGTCTGGGGTCAGCTCCTTCCTCCAAAGGGGTCATCCAGAGGGGCAAATGGAGCCCCACCGACCTTCCCACCAACACTGTTTCTCTGTTTCACCCTCGTTCAAATGCCAATGGCCCTGGGTGGGGCTCGGGGTCCTGGCCCAGGGCAGCGCCCTGCCCCACCAAGCCAGTGCTCATGGGACCCAGAGCCCTTCCCAGAGACACCCACATGCTCCCCGAAGAGCAGGCCACACTCCCCCAGCAGCCACTACAGGCTCTGCTCTTGCAGAGAGAGCGGGACACGCTGAGCAGGGAAGGGGACACGGCGGGGGCCAAGGAGCCACTGGACCAGCCCCTGAGCAGCCTGCACCTCCAAGTGGACAGGGCCCTGAGGCAGGACCAGCACCTACAGGTCAGCAGGGCCGGTACAGCTCTGCGTACCCCAGCCTTGGGAGTGGGCTCAGCACAGGGGGTATCCAGGTGGTGTGGGTCCCGGAAGGGTGGGCCACCCTGCCTGACTCAGGACACACATACAGGTGTGCATGCGCAGGGGTGTCTGCTGGGTCACACCTGGGAGTGGTGGGATGGTCGGGGGCCTCATGAGCCAGCACCTAAACCAAAAAGGGAGGTGTGGGGAAGCACAGCTCCCCTGCATGTGTTGGGGGGATCTCCCTTTCCACCACTGGGCAGACTCTCCACCCCAGACAAGGAATTTACAAGCAGGTGGGAGGCAGCAAGATTCAGCCTATGACGCCTGCAGAACCCCAGTCCAGACAAGCAGAAACCAGGATGCCATTAAAGCAGATGTAAGGTCCACCCTGCCGGCCTGTGGGCTGGGCTCTAGCTCAGATGAGACCCAAATCTGCTTGCCGATCTAGACTGGGGCCCACCCCCCAGCAGAGGGCAGCGGGTAGCAGAGGACTGGACAAAGGAATAGTGGCCCCAAGGGCAAGCGGGCAGCAGTGAGGTGTCTAAGTTCTCACCCAGGTCCAGAGAGCGGAGCTGGAGCAGGCCCAAGCCCAGCAGCCCCAGGAGCTGGCTGCCCAGCACCAGCAAGACCTGGCTGTGGAGGCCAAGCAGGCCCTGGAGTCCCAAGTGCTGGAGGAGCAGGTGGGGCCGGGTGGAGGGTAGAGGAGGGGAGGGGAGGGGTGGGGAAAGCCCGGTGTCCTGCAACACACCCCTCCAGCAGGGGTTCTCCAGACTGACACCCAGGAGCTCCAGCTCACTGAGAGGCGGAGCAGGTTTCTGGGGCAGTTGCCACCTGCTCGGCCTCTACTGCCTGCCCGTGAGGAGGGGTGGTGAGGACAGTCCCTCAGTCAGAGGTCGAGGCCTACGAAGTGTCCAGACTGTGCCTGGCAGGTGGCAGTTGTAGCAGAGGTGGCCCCTGCACCTGTCCTTCAGGCAGGAGGAGAGAGTGTCATGTGGGGACAAGGTGGTGACAGTGTGACAGAGCCTTGGAAGTGTAGCTGTGCTGCCCCCCACACACACGTACACACACATGTACACACACATGTATACACACATGTATACACACATGTATACACACAGGCAAAGACATGCCTGCCAGGGCTGGCCCACGGGCTCCAAGCTGTCAGAGACAGCTTCATTCTACAGATAAGGAAACTGAGACCCAGAAAGGTAAAGTGACTGCCCCATGTTAACCCCAAGTTAGTGTCCCTGACCCACCAAGCCACGTCTGCTGAATTTATGAGCTCAGGAGAACTTATTTCCTGATCACTCTGAGTACATTCATGGCCTGAATGGAAGGGGGTCTGTCCACTGTGGGTCCCTAGGATGGGTGGATGTACCTGACGAGGTGAGCCTGCGTGCCCCTGTGTGTCTGCCCATGTTTCAGTCCCATGCATGTCACCTCTTGGGGGAGCCATGGACCGTGGCCTCCCAGTACTTCCTGTGACAGAGCTCTGGGGAGGCCTAAGACCGTTCCTGCCCCGTTCCCAGGTGGCCAGGAAGGAGCAGCTGGACTAGGAAATGCAACGGCAGCAACATGCCCACCTCAGCCAGGCCTTCCCTGCCAAGAAGTGAGCCCTGCTGCCAACCCTGCCACAGCCCTGACCAGCCGGATGCAGAACCATGAATTGGAAAACCAATGCTCATGCGGCTCAGTGTGGGCCCGGTGCCGGCAGAGGGGCTCAGGGCGCAGGCAGCGGAGCCTACACTCACCTCCAGGAGTCCCATGTCAGCAGGCACCCTCTGGCTCCCCGACCACTGAGCACCCCCACCCTGTGACGTGGGCTTCTGCTGCACACCTCCTCCTCCAGCCACTGTCTCCACCTGGACCTGCCATCGGGACAGACCCCGCCAAGCCAGTTTCCTTGGCCACGGGCTGCATCCCCTGCCCTCAGCTCTGTAAACACGGGGAAACACGTGGAAAACATTTCCACCAAATGGAGCCAAAAACAGTGTCCTTCGAGGCCCGGTGCCCACCTCCCACGCCCAGAGGCTGTGGAACCTTCTGTATCCAGGAACTGCAGGTCTCTCACGATGGCAGGTGGCTGGAAATGACTCAGTCGGTCCCTGTGACTCACTGGCCTGAGAGGCACGGGAGCAGGAACTTAAAAGTCAGAGTTGCAGAACCTCTCACTTTCCCAGTCTGTGAACCTGGGCCAGGGACCCTCTGAATCCAGCCCCATTTCTATGGAAACAAGGCAGCCATCTTCACCTGTAGGCATTTTTATTCGTTTCCCCCATTTATATCAGGTCAGTGATTTATTCTCCTCTCCAAATGGCCTCCTTTGTTCTATGACACCAGCCAGCCCAGGACTCACGGGACCCAAGGTTCTTGTGAGTTCAGCTCCTCCCAGGGAACCCCTGTCATACTCTGGAGGACAAGCATGGGGGCAGGAAGGGCCCAAAGCTCCCGGAAGCCACCCCATCTCGGCCACTGTAAGCTGTGGCCCAGAGAGACGGCCGTCTGTCTCATTCGAGATGGATCCAGGCTTGTTTTCACCTGGTGGTCCTTTGGAGAGCCTGTCTGGGATTGCACAGCTGGAGACGGGCATCCCTGCCATCCCCCAAGGAGGCGGGCCATGCTGGCCTCACCCACCCTCATCTGCCGGGCAAAGCTTCGGGCACAGGGTCCTGTTGACTGGAGGACAGAGCTGGGCCAGGTAGACTGAGCAAAGTGAGGCCCAGTGTTGGGCACTGGACCCTGGCCTCACACAGCACCCTGGAGGTGAGGTGCAGGGAGGAGGGTGAGGTACACCCATCCTGGTATACAAGGTCAAGGCAGAACTGCTGCCCTCCCCACAGTCGAAGGGATAGGGCAGAAAAGCGACCCGTCTCCCACCCATCCCTGCTCCCTGGAACTCGGGCCAAGGCCCCTGGGTGCTTCTCCCCTGCTATCCCACATGGAGGCCTGTGGCCTGTAAGAGGCCCGGCAGGTCCCAGCATCCCTTTAGGAGTTGCCAGCCTTGCAGGGCAGTCCCACCTCTGCTCCTCTCCAGCTGTGCAATCCCAGACAGGCTCTCTAGGCCTCGGGGACCACCTGGTCTGGGGCACCAACCTTCTCGGGTGTCAAAGGACACACCTGAAGCCCACAGGGGGAGGAGGACTCATCCCCTGAGAGAGCAGGAGAGCCATGGGGACAGGGCGATCCTGAAGCACTGGGGCCAGAAGGAAGGAAGTGACACCCTAAGACAGAGAGGCAGGGGAGGATGACCAAGCACCCGAGGAGACAGGCTCCACCTCCAACACACCAGCTTTTGAGGGAGCAAAGGCCCCATCTTGGCCACAGCTGGGGAGGAAATGAGCCGCGGGACCCAGGAGTGCAGCTGGGCCAGGGCAATTGGTATCTGGGCCTCTTGACATTAATATTCTCACCTGTGGATGCTAAAGTGAGGCCAGAGGGCTCCCTCTCCCAGCACATGCATGCTCAGAGCCTATGGGTTAGACTGTATCTGCTACTTTTAACACTCTTTTTAAAATGTTTACTTGAGCCCTGGCCAGTGTTCTCAGTGGTTAGAGCGTCGGCCCAAGCACCAAAGCACCAAGGGCCTTGGGTTTGATTCCTGGTCAAGAGCACGTTGCTGGGTTGCAGGTTCAATCCCTGGCCCCAGTCAGGACATGTGTGGGGATCTCTCTCTCTCTCTCTCTCTCTCTCTCTCTCTCTCCCCCCCCCACACACACACACACCCCTCTCTTCCACTCTCTCAAAAAATCAATGGAAAAAATATCCTCAGGTGAGGATTAACAAAACACACAAAAAATTTTACTTGTGGTTTCCTTCTGATCACTAGCAGAAGCCTCATCATGATGTTCAGGTGTGGGGGGCTCCGTGGAGGCTCTGTCCCTCACTGCACATAGAAAGAGCCAGTGGGCCGGGGTTAGTGGGCTCAACACACTGGCTATGTGAACAGCTGGGCACCCTGAGCCAGGCCCTCCCACCTCTGTCTGGGTTCACCAGCGGCACCCATCTAACCTTACAGTGTAGTGACAGGAGTCAGATCCTACCTGCCCCTCTGGGCCCTGTGATCTCCCAACCTCATTCCCAGAGCAGGTGGCGGGTTACCTGGGACAGAGTCTCTGGTTTCACCTGCATGGTAGAACCAACTGCTCTGGGGAGATCTATGCCCTACCAGCTGCCTCTTGGAGGGAAGGAGAGAAAGGGGGGGGGGGCACGCCAGCCAGCCCCTGCAAACTAGCAGCCTCACCCAGAGACCCCTTCCCCAGCCCTGCAGGGAACAGCCCCCTGGGCCAGGTGTGGACACTCACCACCTTACCCTGCATGGAGTCCCCAGTCCTGGGGCATCCAGAGGTCGGCTCCAGGCTCCCCCATCTAAACTGCACACACACGCAGGCCCTAAATTAAAATGTCACAGGCCTATGGGGAGGCTCAGGTTTCCTGCCGCAGAACATGAGCCTGCTTGATAAAACCATTTTGGTTTTGATAAATGTGGACTTTCTGTGGCAGAGACAAAGGCGCCCTTGAGTCCAGAGGAGAACCTACAACGGCACATTGCTGAAAACTATTTCCTGATAATATTTTTAGCACCTGAAAAAAACAACATTTTTTCTCCTTTTGCCAGTGGAGTTGTGTTTTGTGTTGTTGTTTTTGTTGTTGTTGTTTTAATGTAATGCCCAGTGGAGGTGAGGCCCTGTGTTAACCCCCAGGCCAGGCTGCAGGTCAGCCCAGGGTGAAGGCCATGGAGTAAGCAGGCTCTCTGGGTGGGCCCGGGCCTGAGCATCTCACAAAGCTGCCCAGGAGATTCCCTGGGGCGGTGGGGTTGGGAGCCCCTGTCCTGGTGTCCTAGGGTCTCCAGCCCTTCCACAGCTGCACCTCGTGGGACTAGGGCATTTACGGGCCCTCACTCTCGGGGTGCTGCCCGTGTAGGGCTGGCCTCCTGAAATTCTCGAGTGGCCCTGATTGCATCCTAACAGGATCTGTGTAAACCGGTGGCCTCAGAATTATCCACACACACAGAGGGACCCTCCCACTAGTTCCTAAAAATCACATCAAATGTTCCTTGTTTTGACTGCAAAACAACATGCTCATTGAAGACGTTTTGGAAAATACAGAAAAACAAAGACAAGTGTGAAACCTCTCAGGACCTGGTGACTGTTCTCTCTGCTTATCTTTCGGGGGTGCACCTGTCTTCAGGGACCCGGGGCTTGGCTGGAGTCACCGACATCAGGACTCTGAGAGCAGAGAGGATGGGGGAGGAACTGAGGCCCCAAGAGTCGGGTCTTGCCCTGGGCCTGGGGACCCAGAGGTGAACAGATGCCCCCTGAGGGGCAAATGCACAGTGATGTCCCAGGTCAGCAGTCCCAGAGGCAGAAGAAGGGCTGGGATGACCACAGCTGGGGACAGAGAATCTGAATGTTGGGCTCTTGAGGTCTTACTCCCACCCAGGGGCCCAGGGACACCAAACCACTTGCCAGAGGCCCCCACTGACCAGCCTTCCCCCGCTTTAGGCTGCTTTACGTAGGAGTCGCCAAAATTCTCTTGCTGCCTGCACCCGGCAGGAAACTTCTGGGGCAGAGACACTTTAATACCCTGAGGTTCCCCAGGCCAGGGGTCATTCCCACATTAAACCAGATAGGAAGCCTCGCCCTGCACAGGAATCCAGTGCCCCCAGGCTCAAGGCTAGGGAGGTTTGGGGGGCAATGTAGGGCTGGCCTCTGGCTGTTCTAGAAGGGTTCATCCAGGCACTGCTCAGCCAGCGTGGCCCCCCCCACTGATGACACTCTGGCAGCGGGGTGACCGGGTTCCCTGGCCGGGCAGCAACCTGAAAGAGCACGCGGAAAGCCTGCCCCCAAGTTAAGGTCTGTCCCAAAACTGCTCCGTGCACAACACTGCGGCCTCACGGAGGAGGATGGTCCCTGTCGCAGGGCGTGCGCCCGCGACGCCCTCACTTCCCCAACACCCGGCCAGGGGGGATACGGGAACGTGGGGGCCGTGGGCTGGGCCTCCAAGCGGCGCAGGGCCACTAGGTGCCCCAAACCCTGGGTCAGGGGCTCGGTGCGCGCCCCCGCTCTTTCTGCCGTCCTGGCGCTTTAAGAGTCCCCCTATTTGCATGGCCCCGCCCAGGCCGGTG